TCCCAGCCTTATCCGTTCAGAGACTACTGGGGCATATGGCTGCTGCAATTGCCATTGTCCCATATGCCAGACTATGTATGCGACCCATACAACTGGTTTTCAACGCTGCTTTTCAACCGCAACAGGATCCTGCCACCAAGCCGATTCGGATTCCATCTGCAATCCTTCACACTTTAACGTGGTGGACCATCACAGACAACCTTTCGATCAGCGCCCCGTTTCGACCACCTCGGCCAACGACAACTCTGTACACCGACGCATCCCTCCTTGGATGGGGTGCGGCATGTTCGGGACTTCAGGTCCAAGGTACTTGGAACCGACGAGAGGCGAGGAAAGATCAACTTTCTGGAACTTCTGGCAATTTTCAACGCCCTCAAGGCTTTCGAGACTGTGTTATGCCATTAAGTTGTCCAAATAAATAAATAAAATAAATAAATTGCATCAGACAACATAGCGGCAGTTTTCTACATCAACAAGCAGGGGGGCACAAAATCCCCAGCCTTAGCATGCCTATCGATGGACATTTGGGACTGGTGCATACCGAGGAACATTGTGCTTATGGCAGTTCATCTGGCTGGAACCGACCACGTCGGAGCAGATATATTAAGCAGACAGATGTCAACAATCCACAAATGGGAGTTGGACAAACAAATTTGCGAGAAACTCTTCCACTTGTGGGGTTATCCAGACGTGGACCTGTTCACCACTCGAGAGAACAGCCTGTGTACCTTATACTGTTCCAGAGCGGGCGTTGGGCCGGGATTGATGGGGGACGCTCTTATGGTCCCTTGGAGCAACATGACTTTTTATGCATTTCCCCCGATCCCACTCCTGACAAGAGTGGTTGCGAAAATAGCCCAGGACAATGCCACGGGGATACTAGTGACTCCGTGGTGGCCGAGACAACCATGGTTTGCCACTCTTTTGCTGCTGTCCAGAAGAATGTTCCTTCATCTACCAACTCTTCTGCATGTGTTAACACAACAAGGAGGAGCAATCCGTCATCCGGATATACTCTCTCTGAAGCTGACGGCATGGCGGATCACCTGATTCACGCCACTGAGTCGGTACTGGGGACACCTCACCCTACGGGTGACCTTACTCAACAGACGGTATATGTGGCCCCGACTTCGGATTCAACAGCAACTGCCACGGTACCAATGCCTATGGACAGAGAAATTCAGGCGATTCTCAAATCTGCATTGAGACCGTCCACTCGTCGTTCCTATACGGCTAAATGGAGAAGATTCTCCTCTTTTGCAGAGTGCCATTCCTTTTCCCCTGGAACGGCTTCAGTCACCAGTATTTTACAATTTCTCTTGCATTTGCATCATGAGGGACTTAAACCATCATCCATCAAAGTTTATGCAGCCGCTATATCCCATTATCGTGGCACTATCCACGGATTATCAGTCTTCTCTCAACTGCTGGTTTGGCGTTTCACTAAGGGACTACAAAATTTACATCCGTCTATTCGCCCTGCCATGCCAACGTGGAGTCTTTCCGTAGTGCTCCAAGCGCTTACCAAACCACTGTTCGAGCCTTTAGCAACTGTGGACTTATGCCTGGTGTCATGGAAAACTGCCTTTCTCGTAGCAGCTACATCAGCACGGAGAGCTAGCGAAATTTGTGCTCTCCGCATAGACCCACAATTTCTGAACTTCCATAAGGAAAAAGTCGTCCTTCGGATGGATTTCTCCTTTTTACCCAAGGTGGCCACACCGTTCCACCTGAATCAGGACATCGTTCTGCCGGCATTCTTTCCATCGCCATTGCCCCCAATAAGAACGTGCTCTACACACGCTTGATGTTCGCCATTGCTTGGCCTTTTACAGATCCCTCACTGAATCTTTTCATACTACTAATAAACTTTTTGTTAAATACTCCGAGCGTGAAAAGGGATCACCGATGTCATCTCAGAGACTCTCTAATTGGATCGTCCAGACTATTGTCCTGGCTTATCAGCTATCAAAAATAGACTTATCTGTCTTTCCAAGTGGCCACTCTACACGAGCAGTAGCAACCTCGTCCACTTTTGCTGCAGGGGTTTCAGTGCAAGACATTTGCAGAGCTGCGATCTGGGCTGGTCCATGTACTTTCGCCAAGCACTATTGGCTTGATGTACGTGCCAGACAAGACTGCTCTTTTGGTAGAGCTGTTCTCTCATCCGTTCTTCGCTGATGACACCTCCCTCCTCTGACTGTGGTAAGCTTGCGAATCACCCATATGTGTGATGTGCAGAGGCCACGACGAAGAAAAGCAGGTTGCTTACCTGTAACTGATGTTCTTCGAGTGGCCATCTGTGCATTCACACAACCCACCTGCCGGCCCCACTCGGTGTCGGTGAATGGATCTCGTTTTTCTCAGTACCATACTATAAATTGCATTGGTACCGTTGGGTTGTATCGCTGACTAGATATTGTTCTCGGTACCGTACTATAATTCACATCGGTACCGTTCGGATATAATTGTGTTTTCTCATTACTTTTATTCTTAACCTCTAGAGGGCAAATGTGCGGTCTTCAAGACTGAGTAAAATGGCGGACACTCCGCTCTATTTATACCACGAAGAGGGAGGGGAGCGGAGTTTTCCTGCCAAAAACCGTTAGCTTTCTAATCTTCTGGCCAAAGGCACTGCGCAGGCGCAGCAACCCATATGTGTGAATGCACAGATGGCCACTCGAAGAACATCAGTTACAGGTAAGCAACCTGCTTTTGCTGCATGAGAATGAGCAAGTGCATAAATTCTGAGTGGTTTAACTCCTGAAGAACCCAAAGTTCCTGGGTTCAGACCTCACAAAAAGCATGTTTTGGAAAGCAGCACTGAGAAGCAGGCTGGAGACAGGAACATGCTGCCACACAGCCACACCAATTTCTGGGTTGTTTAACCCAGAAGTTGAGTATGACATGTGAACTGGCTTGTACTCTGCTCCAAAAGCTAATTACACAGAATATTAGTTTTAAATGATGAATATCTGTAATCTAACTTTCTGTGCTAGGGCATCATGTTACGCAACAGCCTCTCATTTGACAGAATAACATCATAAAGGGAGCTTGCTTGGATCCAGAACTCGCATGACCAGAAGTCCGTTCATGGCCACTCCTGCTTGAGGAGGGCAGGAAGTGAATCCTCCAAATTCACCTGTCTGCCTGTCCTCGCTGAAAATTTCTTCCAGAGGGTTGGGGAACCCTCTAGGGCAGTGGAAGGAGTTTTGTGGAGAACAATACTAGGAAGGGGGAATAGGTGAAAAAATGTCTCTTCTTCCAGTGATTGACTCCACTGGATTCCAGGCTGTTTTGCAGTTGAAAAGATACCTGAATTTAAGCTTTTGCTGCAATAATACACAAGTACAGCCAATTGATATGCTAGTGCATAAATACTTAGGATCAAGAGGCAAGTTCTGTGTGAGTTGTATTCCTGTATTCTATTTTAATTGATACCTGTGTGAGGCTGACATAATTTAAATAGATTTTGAATGATAAAAATTTTAAACATTTGTATCTACATTGCTTTGTTTCCCAGGTTCGAAGTTCACTTTGTTCTCTCAGAGCCAAAGAAAGGATGGGCAGGCAAACAAGGAAGCATTTCTTCCTCTCTTCTTTCTCCCTTTGTGAAAAGAAGTAAAGATAATTCCAAGATGCTTATATGTATTTGTGGTCCATTACCTTTCATGGAACAAGGAATACAGTAAGTGAAATAATGGAAATATAATTGATATGTCACATTATTTGTATGTCTCACATACTTTAAACTTGTAAAAATAGCTTTTTACTCTTAAGAGCCATTTTGAATATAATTGTGGTAACACAGTACATAAATTCTCATTGTCTTTGTATGAGCTGATATCATGGACATTTGTGGGTTGGAAATAGTTATACAGGCTGAAGCCCACATTTGAGCCATTCAAGAAGTCTTGTGTGCACGCATTAGCGAGAGAAGAGATCAATATGCACCAAGCTAGGCTAAACCAGGAGTGCCCAGGATGTGGCTTTGATTTCAGAGCTCCAGAGAAAGAATATGTGGCCTTGTGATTCCCACTGTTGCCTAGGATTGGAGCTTATCACTTCCAGGCAAACCTTTTCTTGGCCCTCTGATAGGCCAGACTACTTGTTTTATCTTTACATGCATTCTTTTTATTCATGTTCATTAGGAAGTGCAGGGTGAAGTCCTAACCACATGAAAGCCATTTTTCAGCAGTATACGAATCAGGAAGACGTTAAAATGGAAGTTTTGTTGAGTGCTGTGCTTTCTTATTGAATTATATTGAGAATGTTTATCAATCATATGGACAATATGCTTCCATACCCATGCACTAGCAGGACTTAGCAATGAGAAGCTGGTGGTTCTGCAAAAGAGTAGAAATGCTTATTTCCAGAATAGGGCTGGTCAGTGTCACTCAGTGAAAAGAATTCCACTAACCTGCCCTATTCCGAAAACAAGCCTTGCCACTTATTTCTGGAGTTACTATAGGAAGCACAAGCTCCTGTTGTGCTAGTTGTGAATTCTGCAACATAACTAGCAGAGATGCAGTGGCAGCATTGAACACCACCCTGTATGTGGAACTATTGTAGGCAAATATGTTTTTGGTATTTTCCATTCTAAGTGTTAAGAATTGGCTTGCCTGAGAGACTTTCTATTATTGCGTCATTGGGAGTTAATTTTATAGTTAAGGGTAGGATTGATTGGTTTGATCAACAAATCATTCCTTATTACAAGAAGAATGGGCTGTACTAAAAGCAATGCTTTATTCCTAATTTGGTATGCATTAGTCCCAGTGTACTTCCCAGTATATTACTGCATAATTTTCTTGTTTTTTTAATTTCAGGTATCTTCAAGATCTTGGGCAATCCTGTCAGGAAATACATTGTTTTACAGCCTAAAAAGAAAACATTTAGGACCGCAGTTTGCACATTTGACAGACATACTTATTTTTTTATTTGAATTCTGAGAGAGAAATGTTCTGCATGAATACTTGTTCTTTTTAATATAATTACTTGAATTCTGTCATCTTTGTGGAGGAAATAATTTTATATTCTGCTGCTTTGAAATTGTATTTATTTTTGCTACTATGTAAAACTTAACTAGAATATTTTAGAGGTAAATAAATTAGTACAGTTCATGCGTGTTGAGCAAGTATGATATGAACTCTCACCATCAGGTAAGATTTAGTAGCATCCTTTTGCACTGATTATTTTAACTATGTAAGCACCAGAACCTTTTTTAAAATTATAAATTCACTGCTGTAAAGTAGTGAACAACTTGCAATCAGCATAGCCAATGGGAGCTATGTGCTAAACTATCTGGAGGGCCACAGGTTGTTCATCCCCACTGTAAAACATCTTGTTAGTACTGTAGTATGAAGTTATATGTTACATGGTTAACTCAGGAAAATGATTGTTTCAGTAGCATCTTACTGATATCATGAAACTGTAGTATTAATAAGTGTGTCTTTTTACACATTATACAGAATATCTGTTTTATGTGCTAAATTACTTTTTGTATATGAATAATAAAAACAGAGAATGTTGCATTAAAATCAAATCTATGTGTATATTTCTTGGCCCTTTGCATTGCTGCATTTGGATGATTTCTTAAACTTCTCAAATTAGAATTGCCGGACATCCCCATTTTCTTGAAGAAGTTCAGTCCCTAAAAGAAAATGGTTGTCCCCTATTTTAGCATACAGATATTCCAAACTGTTGCTTGCTTAGGAAATCTTGATCTGGAAACATTTTTTCTATTTATTTCTTTAGAGTAGTTACCCCATCTTTCTCTCTTGACATGAAGCATTTGAGGCAATGCATAACAGGATCAATGAAACAATACAAAATCCATTTTAGAAATGTTACAAAGGAAGAGACAGGAGGCAGCTGATATTAAACACTGAAAAATAGCAAGGGATTGGGCAAAACATTGGTTTGTAATGCCAAAAATGTTCTATAGATGGAGGTCCCAGGGACATGAATAAGCTGCTGGCTTCACTTTTTGCAGTGGTTTTGGCAACAATGGATCCTGTACCAGTTTTTTTTCCAGTGAGATCTCTCCTTTTCCCTCCTCCACTCCAGCATACTAAAGAGGAATGATGGGGACATGTTCCAAGCAGCTACAGGATTCCTGGTGGAAGAGCAGGGCTGTTAAAATGGTTAGCTTCAGAGTTCCTTAAGGCCCAAACTGGGATACAGCATTTGGCTAGTGGACTTGCGAATTCAATCCAGGTTCTTCCTACTGAGTGAATTCTTGCATGAGCATTCTCTGCCTCCCTCTTTTTCCTTCCAGTCTATTTATATAACAGTGCAAATTCTGTGAGATGTAGCCTAGGATATTAAGCCTGGTGCTTGGGTCAAGGGAAGAGCTGGTAGCAGCCTTTAATTAGCAGAAACTAATTAGAAACTGACCAGTGTTTTTACACACATAGAAGTAATTGCACTGGTTAAGCTCCGTACTGTGCTCTTGTTTGGGGAAAGAGAGACCTATTTTAAGAAATCTATAGACAAGATAATCAAAGATTCAGAAAAAAAGCATGCAAACATTCAACACTAAGGTCATCCTGTGACCCTTGGTGTTGGACAGGATATAAATGTAATCAATCAATCAATCAGGAGTCCTTTTTACTAATATTTAGTGGTACATTTCTTTGCCCAACACATTTACAAATTTCCTTCAACTTAGCTTTTGCCAGTACTCCAATTTCCTTACTTAAGTTCCCCTGATTTGCAGACGAAGCATATGGTTATCAAAATGCCAAAACTTAAGCGTGTTTCTGCAGAGACAATATACTGTCAACCAACATAGGAGCTTGGTTGCTGCTATGGCAACACTGTAGCCATCCCTGATTTACATACGCTTTTCAAACAAATCCATCCTTAGCTCATCTCAAGTGTCCTGCTTGAAACCCAAACAACACATTGTGCAACTAGCACAGTGCTGCTTGCATAGTGCAGGTGGGTATTCATACTCAATCTCTTAAGTACCCCTCACCTGTATTACGGTAATTTGTACTGCTTTTAGGCATATGTACACACAAAGTGACAAGCCACAACCGCCATTGATGGGGGACCAGGTGCCTGTGGGCACATGCACACAGATGTGAGGGGTCAGCATGAACCACAAAGATGGGTACCAGCCTGCCCATGATCACACACCGACGCCTTAAATCAGCAAATTATGTTCCTCGATTCGAACTGAAAATGCTGACCTCTTGCCGTTGGGCAGAAAAGAGTCAAATTCTACATAAGGAAAGCACAAAGGAATCACTGTCCTCCTTTAAAGTAGGAGTGGGCAAGAAGTCCCCACCCTGGTCAAGAGCCACATTCCCTTGTAAGTCAGCTGTTGGAGCTTGCAAGTTGGTGGCGCAGGGGGCTGCAACCAGGGAAGGATATCTGCGGAAATGGACAGATATCTCCTTCGTCTCTGAAGGAGAAAGAAGATACAGATTTCTATCAAACCTGAGACTCTTTTTATCATCAGTTAGAGAAACGGAACTACGCATTGACTTAAATAACATCCCGTTGTGCAAATTCGAACTGGCAACCTTTCGATCAACCAGCACAGCAGCACAGCGGTTTAAACAACTGCACCACCTGCAGTCCCAAAATATGTTTATAGTTTAACATAAAAAGAAAAAATGTGGGGGCTGACCCAGTAGGTCTGATGTTTTCGATGACTGATGCTTTTTAGTTTTTTGGGGGTTTTTTTGGTTAGGTATATATTAAGAACAAAACTTATTCAAACAAAAAACAAAACAAAAAAAAGGGGTGGGGGAAGGATATCATGGCAAAAGTGGCGAATTAGCTCCTTGTTTGCCTCCTGTTGGAACCTGACCTAACAGTGCTGAGGCAGGAGTCTCAGTATAACCCTTTCTTGCAGTAATTGCAGTAATCAAATGCAGCCTTTACAGCCCTAGTAATGATCCACATTTAACAGATTACGGTGTAGCTCCTTGACAAGAATCACCTCACAAATGTCATGACAAAGACCCAGCCAGCCTTGCATTCCGCACACAGAATAAGGTGCGATGAGTCCAGCGTTCCAGAAAAGCAAGAAGCTTTCCAGGTTGCCATTCTGATGGATGGATGGAAAGAAGGCGAGGTTCTTAGACTGCTGAATTCTGAAGCAAATACTAATCTCTGCACTTCTGCTATATGATTAGTAATTGTGGAACTCACATACACGATCTGGCTTCAACTACTCCTTTCTGAGGCCAAAGCCTAAAGTTTGCTACCACACGATACTGTGGCAGATTTAAAAGGCATTAGTCAACATTTATTTATTTAATATCTCTCTACATCAACTTTCTGCTAAGGTATTCAAGGTTCTTGACAGTTTTTAAACTCTGAAATAAACAACTGTAATGGGGCAGGGGAGGGGGACACAATATATTCTCTCAGACTGTGAATGAAGCTGATGGCAAGAGTTCCTTGGCCAGTTCTGCTTCTTTTCTTTTTTCCCCTCGGGGCCTGCAGGGCACGTGAAGAACATGTCTGTCAGTGGCTACCGTCAGCGACAGCCCAAATAGCCTAAGTATAAGGTAGTCAGTCTCTGAATAGCAGATGCTGAGAAACAAATGGGAGGATAGGATTCCTTCCATTACGGTTTTCTTGTGGACCTCCAGAAGGCATCTGTGCCAGCCAGTGTGTGAAACAAGACGTTCATCCTGATATACTTCAGTCCACCCTGGCAGGTCTCTTCCTCCCTCTTCACTTTCTGACCACTTTTTCCAACTCCTGATCATACTTAATTTCTTTTAATTAAATCCTGAATCGCTACCAGCAAAACGTCTTGCTGGAGAGTGCCCTGCTAAGAGTGTTGTCATAGTAACCTGAACATGTGTAAACTTAAGGACAGCAAACCACTAGAAGGTAATCACACAGCTTTGTTGACGGTAATGTTGATTTCAGCAGTCTTCAGTGAGATGGGTGAAATTATATTCACTGAATGCCTCAAAGCTGAGTTGCTGTCATATGAGAGTATCACTCGGAATGGAATATAAAACGGTGTAAAGCTCACCACAGTGCAGTATTGAGCGCAGGCTATATGCTAAAACACTTGTTACAAAGGCATAGGAAGCTTTCCAGATTGCATTTACTTTTGCCTCTTGAGTAACTGAGGGTTTTTTCTTTAGGGCCTTTAAAACTACACATCCAGCAGAGCAGAAAACGTTAGCAGAAAGATCGTAATTTATTAAGCATGTTAAAAGTTTCCCCTGGCGAACACTTTCTCAACTGTTACAAACATGTACCTTACAAACATGCTATAATGAACAATGGAGGGGGAAAGAGCTAGAGTTGTATGCGTACAGAGTAGACCAGCAAAGAACAAAGTTAAATGAGGGAGTAAACTGAGAATGTTTTGTGGGCCTGTGATCTCTGCAGCTCCATCACCAAGTGCAATGACCATTCTATTGGGGTAGCCCATCCCTTTCTTTCCTGTTTCTCCTACCCAAAAACCCTCCCATGTGACCTTCCTAGCCTCTCCTTCCTTCTTGGAATTGGTGCACTGATGTACTTGAGTTGATGTATTTGTACTTGAGCCAACAGACTCTCCACAGTCCTGCCCAGTCCTGCAGATGAGAGCAAAGTCACTCAGCTCCTAGGCACCTTTGCCCTCGTCAGCTGGAGCGGCATGGGGTGAGCCGGGGTGGGCTCTGGCAAGGCCGCCAGCCCAAGCCACTCTCTTCCTGAATCTCGGGGAGCAAGCGGGAAGGCGATGGCAGCCTCGGGAGAGCTCGTCACAGCATTCCCGTGCCATTGCTGGGATCTAGATGGGGGCTCCGAGCAGCACAGGGGCCACAGAACAAGGCCTCAGGGGCTGCGTATGGCCCATGGGCCACACTTTGGACCACCCCACACTAGAACAATGAGCAGAGCAGAGGGAGGGGGAAGAGAATGTTTAATCAGCAGAATCAAGGTTAGAAACGTGCTGTTTGGACAGGTGCTACATTAAACCTTGCTTTGCTTGTGTATGTGTAGTCCTCTTTATTTCTGGAATAAAGCTGCATCCTGAGAATGCTCTCAACTGGTTTGTTCTTGGTCAGGAAACTCACTGCCTTACGAAGCTTCGCAGATAAATAAATTTGGGTAACATTTGGATATAGAAAGCTTAAGTAGAATCATTTAAAGGTCTTTCCCCCTGGAATTGGGAATCTGTTTTTTCCACTGGGAAGGAAAGTGTGAGTGGGCCATGACAAATGGTTGTATTGCCTCATATCACTTTTCAGTTAAGACAGTTGACATGCTACAGTAATTATCATCAAATGGTGCACATCTGACCCTTAATTCTTCATCTGTGAATTCCTTTCTGCCCAAATTTCTTCACTGACTCAAGAGTTAGGTGAATGTTAATTTGAGATATGTCATTTTCAGTCCTAACATCTCAAGCATGGATAATTTCCCCAGAAAAGCTTGGCTGGCACCATCACTGATGGCTTTTGGGTACCAAAAGAAGGGCTCATTTATTCATTACCCATGCATTCTAACATGTGTCTTTTAATATATATACTTCATTAATTTGTCAAACAAAAGGACAAACAACAAAAAG